AACCTAAAAGCAGAACAAGGGCAGGTGTGGTGGCCTGTGGTTGGGACAAAGAACTTGCTCAAGTTATTTAAAAGCCTTCCTGTCAACTACACTGTTGCATTTTACAACCACACACACAGCCCAAGCACTATAAAGACTTTTGAGGGAATATTTTTTGATTCTAAGATATTCCAAATACCAGGAAAGATATTTTTTCTAATTTGTGCATGTTAAAGAACTCATATAGCTAAAAAGCAGTCTGTCCAGCAGCAGCAGGGCCCTTACCAGGGTGGGGCTGTTGCAGCAGAGACTGAAGTGTTGGCCACAGAACTGGGACACACACAGCCTCCTGTCCTTGAGAGGCTGCCTAGGGAGCAGCAGCCAAGTGGCTGCAGCTTTTCCCAGGCGTCTGCTTGTACTGCAGCCATGTGGGCTCCTTACTGAAAAAGCCTCGAATTCCTCAAAAGCTCTGCACTTGTGTGGGCCTAGGGAGATGTGCAGGCCGGGAGGTGCGCAGGTCGCCAAATGCTTGCTGCTCAGATTCGAGGACCCGAGTTCTGATCCCATGCAATAAGGCCAGGTTCTGTGGTACAAACCGGCAATCCCAGCGAGGGGAAAGTGAAGACACAGGGATCTCTGGGGCTTCTGATTGCTCAGTATAGCAGGATCGATGAACTCCATGAGAAACCCTGTCTAGATCAATCAGTCAATCAATCAACTCATCAATCAAAAGTGGAAAGACACTTAACATCAACCTCTGGCTTTCCCATGCGTTTACATTCCTGTGTGTGTCTATTCATACATACGCACAAGCACACATTCATTCTCCCCCATTAACCTACACCCCATTTAAATAAGCACAATAATCATAGCTTGGCCTAGAATTTGTTTAAAATTTTTTTTGTAATGCGTTTTTGGAGTTTTTTCAGCATTTCCTTTGTATTACAAGATGAATACATTAAAACTCTTTTAGTCAGAACTGTTAACTGATAATTTATTGGTAAGTTTAAGCCTCATAACAGGCTTAAAATTTGCCATTTAACAGATCAGGAAATATTCTGAAATAAATTTGAAGTCTCTTACTCAAGGTGCCCAGGGGAGGCAGAGTCAGAGGGTTCAGGTGAAAGTGTCCCTGACTCTCGGGTCTCCCTTTTCATCACGCAGCTTAGCCAGTCAAGTCCTTCTAGCTCACCTATTAGCTCACCTCCAGTCATAGGTGCTGGGAATTGAGAGGAAACTACTTTCAGTTAGCATTTCCCTGTGCTGTGGTTCGGTCATGCATGTTGTGGGGTGGGCTCCAGCTGGTGACACTGTTAGGAGGGGACTGGACCACGGAGTGCTAACGACTCACAGCTCTCTGTATCTGAGGTGAATGCTGTCTTCACAAGCCCACAACTTCACAGGCTGTTAGAAGGCGGAGTCTGGTTGGAGGAAGTAGGTCACTGTGGCTTGTTTTTTGAAGAGCTCACCATCATCTGCTTACATTTTAAAAGGTGTATTCAACCTTAATCTCAGCGTCAGGGAAGCAGAGGAAGGCACCTCTCTGTGAGTTCAAGGCCAGCATAGTCTCCATAGAGAATTCTTGGAAAGCCAGAATTACTTAGAGAGATCCTGTCTCAAAATAAATAAATAGATAGCATTTATTTAGCGTGTCGTGCAGATACATGCGTGTACTAGGATGCCGTTTTGGAGATTAGAAGACAACCTTCAGGACTTGCTTCCTTCCTTCCCTCAATCTGGGTCTGGTGGATGGAACGCAGGTGTCAGGTTTGGTGGCAAGAGCCTTTACCTGCTGAGCCATCTTGTGGGCCCCCAAAGGGTCTCTCTTATCCCCAGATCCTCTCTCTGAAACTACGAACCAAAACAAACTATTTCTCCTTGTCATGATCAGAACGCAAAACGTCCCCCGTAGGCTCACCGGTTGGAAACCTTGGCACCCGGTTGGTGGCACTTGCTCGCTCTTTTCTGGCGGCCTTGCTGGAGCAAGTGAGTCACTTAGCTCCCTAACCCAACGAGGTACTTGGGAGTGAACAGCCTAGTGCTTCTCGTGAAGCTGAGCCAGGTAAGCAGTTCCTCTTGTGTTTCGCCTCTTCGGTCCAGTGGTTTGTTACGGTTAGCTAACACGTGCCGCCAAGCTAGTCTCTCGGGTGTTCTGTCAGGGACCAGATCTGCCTAACACACATTAAAACAGCTGAAGCCTGGAGAGATGGCTCAATGGATAAGAGCTCTTGTTCTTCTAGAGGATTCTATGAGTTCAGTTCCCAGAAACCACACAGTAGCCCACAGCCCTGTTCCAGGGATCTGATTCCTTCCTGTGTGCACAAATAGGCAGGCAGCACACTCATCTACAGATAAAAACAAATATCTCCAGGGAGAATCACAGGTAAATGGCTTAGCCATGGCTATCATTTTGGGGGCTCTCCCAAAACCCTCTCCAAGGGTTGATAAGATTTTTTTTTTTTTTTAAATTATAGGGTGGCTCTGCGATTTCAATCTGATAAGATAAAACCTGGAGCCAATGAGGTTGCCCCTAGGGGTTAGGATCTGTTCCCTCCTGTAGGGAGTTTCTGGTAAGATTCCTCGGAGACTGCAGGCTTAAGGCTGGGAAAGGAGAAAGGCTTCTAACAGAAGCCATTTGTGCTGGAATTCTTGATTCTCAGCAGCTGAGAGTCTCTCCTATTCCTACAGCCTCAAAATTTTCTTTCTGTCCCTGCCTCTGTATGAGTGTGTGTTGTATGTGTGTGTGTATGTGTGTATGTGTTGCTCCCAGGGCCTTGTACCTGCTAGATAAATGCACTACCATCAAGTTCCAGCACTTCTGGGCCTGCTTCAAAAGATGCAACATTGTCCTCTGAAGGCTTCTGTGTCTAAAACACCTGCCCTGCCAAACTGTGCCTGATTAACCGCGGCTGTGGCTTCTCTTTCCTCCTCAGAACCCACATGAATTAACTAGGCTTCGCTGGCATTCTGTTAACCCGTTCGCCACCAGAAACAAAATGGTTTTCTAGCTGGGTCTGGTGGCACATGCCTGTAACCCCAGCACTCAGGAGGCCAAGGTTGGAGGACAGTGAGTTCAAATATGGCCTGAGTTATAGAAGGAGTTCCAGTCTTAACAACCAAATAGACAAGTATCAGATAAGTGAGAATTATCAAAAACTTGGAGTGGGGGTTGCTGGTCCTTTTACGGGGAGGGAGCTAGGGACTTTGTTTTCTGTTATTCCTGGAACAAATAGCAAGTTTTCCCAACAGCTTTGAGTTTTCTCAGCTTGACCCTTTAAAGGAGGACATGGTGGTTCTTAGTGATGTGGTCTGGGATCCTGGGAACTGTTAGCACTTGCCCAAGACTTTATAGGTCAATGCTGAGGCCTCGTCAGGAAGGTGGCTAAACCAAAACGCCGAAAGCAAACCAAACAACACCAAAATCAAAAACCAAAAGGGGAGAGGAGAAATAGCAAGGGGAAAGAAAGAAGAGAAGAAACAGGAAGAGGAAGAAGGGGAGGAAGGAAGCGGAAGAGTGCCTGACTAGAGTGTTGCTGAGGAGAGAATTTCTGTGAGGAGCACTGTGGGTAGCTAGGGTAGCTATTAGTGAGTTAGGCATTTGGAGAGATAAGCAGGGATTATGTTCCTGGGCTACAGCCCTAGGATTCTGGAACCCGGCCTGCTCTGTGGGAAGCAAGCAAAGACTGAGCGCTCAGCCCGGGGTCTCAGGCCTGAAGCTGAGGCAGGAGGATCACCTGTTCCAGGATGGCCTGGGCTACAGAGTGAGTTAAAGGCCAGTTTGGGGAACTTTTGCATAAAAGTCTGACAATAAATTGTTTGTCTGGTAAACTCAAAGTCCTAAATGCTATCTATCCTTACTACCACCAAACAAAAAAGCCAAAGAAGACTGAAGAAGTACAAGCAAATACGCACTTTTCCTGCTGAACTACTTCTGCCAACTCTTTAGGGCTGTTAATTCAACAATGTAACTTTCAATTGAATCTTTGTCGCAATTGGATTTCAAATCAAATTTAAGTTTAAACGTAATTTAAAGAGACACTCACGGATATCGCTCGCCATTTTCACCTGTGTGCTGCTAGTCAGCTTTCAGTTGCCTTCACGAATACCTGAGCTAAATCATCCTAAAAGGACGAAAGGTTTCTTTTGGTTTATGGTTTTGGTTCATGGCCAGTTGCTCTTGGGCCTGTGGCAAGGCAGTGAACCACGGTGGGAAGTGTATGGGTAGGGCAAAGTTACTCGCCTTGTGGCTTTTGGCGAGAAAATGAAAAAAAATTTAAAAAATGAAGGAGGAAGAGGAGAAAACAATTAAGAAGAGGAGACAGAGACTGTGGCCCACAATTCTCCTAAAGGCAACACTTAAAACCTCATAGACTCCCCAGGTGTTGTGGAGCATGCCTTTAATCCCAGCACTCTGGAGGCAGAGGCAGCAGATTTCTGAGTTCGAGGTCAGCCTGGTCTACAGAGTGAGTTCCAGGACAGCCGTGGCTACACAGAGAAACCCTACCTTGAAAACAAAACAAAAGAAAGCCTCCTGGGCTCTACCTGATAAAATCCTACCATCTCCTGAAACCTCACCAGTAGGGAAGATTCTAACACAGGGATCTTTGGGGACACTTTCCAAAGCACAGCGTGCATGTGCAATGGATAAAATAATTCAGGGCCTTCCAGATGGTGCTTCCCACACAAGTCTAATGACCAGAGTTCAAACCCTGCAACTCACATGTAGGTGGAAGGAGAAAACTGCCTTCACATGGATGCCCCAGTGCTCTTGTCCACCACACACACTCCCATCTTCATCATCACCAGAACAAAAATTAATGTATTATTACGCCCTCAATAGGGTTTTAGAGACAAGAATTCACGCTTTATACCAGGCTGTTCTGGGCATGAAACAATCCTCCTCTATCAGTTAACAGGCAGTCTTTCTTGTTCAAGTTAGATGAAGAGAAATGAATGAAGATTAATTATGCAAATATGACTTTAAATATTCATCTCAAATATTTTATCATCACCCTCAAACATGTTTGAGATAGATTTAATCACACTGAGTATTGTACTATAAATAGTACGAAGATTACAGTGCTCGGCGCTAAATGTGGGGTTTCGGAGGCAGTGCCTGGAAGGGAAGGCAGTCAATCTCCCCATGAGCCAGGATGGGGGACAGAAAGAAGCTGAGGTAAGAGTCAGGAGGAAGGAACCCAGAGGTGAGGGCCAGGTGAGTCCAATGTATGGGGTCCCCAAATGCGGACACTACTTTCTGACGACCTGGGAGAGCCCACCTGGAACATCTGGTACCAGATGTGACGTGTGCCCACAGATGTCAGTGGGTAGGAACCAGGTGAGTGCACGGTGGAGTAAACATGTTTTGGGGTCCTTGGCTTCCTCAGATCTCAGGCTAGAGTTTCTATCATAGTATTTTTGTGCTAAATGTGGTCCTGGGAAGTTTTGTTAACGTCTCTGAGTCTGTTTTCTCACAGTACACATGGAGATGGCAGTGTGTTCACTGAGATAAGGGACGCAGTGGCACACAGTAGGGCTTCCCTAGACACCAGCCCACTACCTCTCTTTCCCCTTCTCTACTCTGACTCCACTGCTGCCAAAGGGTCAAAGGATAGGGAGTAGTTTAGTGATAGGGGTGTAGAAATCATGGGAGGTAAATTTAAGTGCCAAATATTAACGAGGGACTTGGCCTTCTCTTCACCCAGAGTGAAGACATAATACAGTAGTGGTCATTATGTCATTATGTAGTGGTGCTGGGGATGGCGTCAGGGCCTCAGTACTGGCAGCATTGGACCGATGTGCTCCACCCTCCCACTGCGGTCTGGCAGCTTACCGCAGGGTAATGATGCTTTACAAACACAGGGTTTCTCATTCTCCCTCCACCTGGTGGGTGGGTGGGAGGAGCCTGTCCTCCGGGATGAGCAGTGTGTAACCCCGCCAAACAAGCCAGGTGTTTGGGATCAGGACCTGACCTCCTCGTGAGATACACGGTAGGTTTAAAAAGAAACATTCAATTCCACGGTCTGGATTAAGGGAAATGACGGTGCCAAGGGCAAGGCCAGGGTGGAGGGAAGAGAGCAAAGGTGAGTAGCAGCCCAGCATGGTGGTGCGAGGCTTTAATACCAGCAGGCAGGTGGGTCTCTGTGAGTTCAAAGTCAGTCTGCTCAACTTAAAGAATTCCTGGCCTGCCAGGCCACACAACAAAACAAAGACCAGTTAGCACAGCTGAGGGCAATGTCCCACCAAGGGCCAGCAGGATCAGCTGCAGAAGCCAGAGACGCCTGAGGTTTCCTCACCCACTCTGGGGTGGGAGCAGGTCATCGCAGGACTGCTCCATTGCCGCTGCTACTTCTTTCTTCTCTTCCGCAGACAGGGTTTCTCTGTGTGACCTCACTCCAGGCTGCCGGAAGCTCGAGGAGAGCTGGCTTTCTGCAGGACACAAGGACACAGTTTCACAATTAGCAGCTCTACTCATGAACTTAACGGGCATAGATACAAAGAGCGTAGACTGGTTTTTCTATGTTCCACGAGTGACACACACGGGGCCATGTGACTGTGGGAAATACTTGGTGAAGTTTTGTTGGGATGCTGTACTCGGGGAAAGCGGGAACATTCTAGAATGGGAATGGAAGGGTCAGCCTGTGGAGACGCTGGAGAACTGATGGGGTGGAGGTGGGGTTATAGAGCACACGCATGGGAAGAACTAGAGGCTGCCATCTCTGCTCCAAATCCGGCATGCAAGAGCTCTGAATGACTCTCCCGTTTCCTGCTGAAGTTGGGATATTTTTCCTGCAGAAAACCCGACTCAGAACACATCCAAACACACACACACACACACACACACACACACACACACCACACACATATATATTAATTTTAACTTCTAAGTTACCCATCAGAGAATGTTTAAAATAAATTTGCAAATAAATACATCTTGAGTGGTGAAAGGATTTCGAGGGTTAACTGATCAGGTGCTGCTGTGGCATGGCTGACTCATGGGTGGGTAAGCGGTTTGTCTTCTACCTCCAACTCTTAAGGAAAAAACAAAGATGAACTTGGTGGTTTAATGGTTAGGCTGCAGTGAGGATGCTGGAGGATACAACTCACACCTATGTGCCAGTTATGGGGGTGGGACCAAAGGATTTAGATGCTTAGATAAAGCCCAGAATCCATTAAAATGTATTGATACACATGTGATATCAGTGTGTATTGAAAACACCACCTCATCTATCTGGAAGTTCTGATTGCAAATGGTGACTCAGTGAATCTGAAATAGGACAGTTATATGCAATCATTGCCAGCTGCATTTCCCACCAATAACTGTGGCTAATTCTCACAACTAACTAGGGGGTCCAGACCCATGTGTCTCCCCTTCTGACTCACTAATGAACAAAATTCAAAATTTAAAAGTTAATGTTAAGAAAAAAACAGGGATGAGTTCTGCAGTACTCATCCCTGCCTATATCCTTGCCTATAAGCAAGTGAACATTTTGAGTGAATAGAAAGCACGAGGGATTCATTGACAGTCTTGCTGTATATAGCTTGTGTGTGTGTCTACGGAGGCCAAAGAAAATATTGTCAGTTTTCTTCCCCACTGTTCTTCACCTTATTCTTTGAGACAGGGTGTCTCACAGATCCTAGCTCTCACCGACTGTGTCCAGGTGAATCTGTTTGTCCCCAGCCACATCTGTCTCAGCTCTAGGATTACAGCTGTCCGGGAGCATCTGCCTCTTGTTTTGTTTATTTGGGTGTTGAGGATCTGCACTGCTCACAGGGTCCTTATTCTTGCAATCCTTATCGTCTGACCTACCTCATTTACACCCTTTTCTTTTGAAGAGACCCTTTGAAGTTTATAGTATGGACCTATGTTTACAATAAGGGGTTTTCCTCCCTCATTTTTAATATTTATTTATTATGCATACAACATTGTCTGTGTGTATGTCTGCAGGCCAGAAGAGGGCACCAGACCTCATTACAGATGGTTGTGAGCCACCATGTGGTTGCTGGGAATTGAACTCAGGACCTTTGGAAAAGCAGGCAATGCTCTTAACCACTGAGCCATCTCTCCAGCCCTCATCTTTTATTTTGTAAGTTAAATACTTATACAGGAAACACATGCTATAAAGGAAACCAAAAAAACAAAAACCAACCAAACAAAAAAACCCCTTGGATCTGGATAAAAAATGTGAGAAATGAAGAATTTCTTTGGAATGAAAAATAGCATTTATATTTAAGGTCTCCCACTGCATGGTGTTTTCCTTTTTGCATTATTTGCTGCAGAACTCTGAACAGGTTTCATCCTTAAGAGCTGTGGCTTTAAGGGATCTGCCAAGATTCACGTTTAGAGGATTTCTGACTATGAAATACAACGCAAACGCCCGTGGTCCGGATTTCCACCTAGGACAAACCCGAAGGCAATGACGACGATTCGGTGTCAGCACTTGTTCTCAGGAAGGGCTCAGGGGAACTCGCTCAAGCTGTGAGGAAGAGCTTGTTTTTAACTAAGATGACAGCACCTGAAGCTAGGCTGCGCATGAAAAGGCGTGCTCAGCCCTGCATCTGAACCCACTCACAAGTAATAAGGGATGTTAGAAACACCATTACTAACAGCACTGCGAGGTGGTGGTGGTTAACGAACTTCTCTGAACGCTCAACCCGAGAGGAAGGGAACAGACAACCAAAAGTAGCAACAGCAGGGAGAGAGGGGAAAAGTTTGGGACTCGGGCCTGGATCTGCGCCCGCGAGCTCGATTTCCGAGCGCCTTTCCCTCGCTCCCGGGGTTACACACGGACCGGGCGCGGCTTGACAGCCCGGGACGCTTCTGCTCGGCGGTAGGGTGAGCTCCATCTTCCCCACAGACCGCCGCCAGGGACAGTCCGCGGGAGGGCGCGGGCCAGAGCGCGACGCTGAGCCTGGGCGCCCAAGATAAGCCGGGTGGGGACTCCGGACGCTCTCGAGCGGGCGGGCCGGACGCGCCACGGGGCCCGGCCAATCGGCAGCGCCGGCGATGATTCAAAAGGTCGAGGGACCAATAGGAGCTCAAGGAAGCCGCACTGGGGGCGGAACCTCGGGGGCGCGAGAGCGCGGCCGAGTGGTGTCGCGCTCGGAACCGCCGCGGGCTGCTGCGTGTGTGTCCCTGAGAGGTGGTTGGAGTTCCCGCCGGAGCGCGGCCAGGTGAGCGGCGGCGCGGGTCCCCGCCGCGTGTGGAGGGAGGGTCCCCCGGGCGGCTGGCAAGGCTGGAACGGCGCGGGCTGGAAGCAGAGCGTGGGTTTCGAATTGCGCTCTCCGCCCCCCCCTCCGCCCCGGACGCGCGCGTTGGGAACTCCGGACGGCCCCGGGGCCGTACTCGCCGCGGCGTCCCGGCCCTCGGAGGGCGGGCTACCTTCTGGGTGGAGCTAACTGCCGCCGGGAGTCGAAGCCCCAATTCCCGAAGCGCCAACCCGCCTTTCCCAGGCCTCGTGAGTGCTTCTGCGTGGTGACAGCCGGCCTCGCGCCGCCCGCGGCTTCGAGAGCCACTTAGTGCGCACTCGGGCGTCGAGGGCCTGCTCTGGGGCGCTTCGGCGACGACGGACGGGCTGGCAGCGAGTCACCCTGCCGTTGTCCCCGCTGGGGGTCGATCACCAGCTGTGCGAGGGCCGGAGCCCAGGTGCACAAGCACGTGTAGATCTGGGGCTGCAGAGAAGCGCGGGATGGGCGACCTAATCCAGAGAGTGCGACGATAAGTTCAGTTTAGTTTCTGAGCGTTGCCCGGGGAGGAGGGTGCGAATGAGCAAGAGTAAACGATAAATGTACCTTTGAGTTTTAAGGGGGAAAAAGCCACTCTGGATGGTTCTGTGGGGGCTTAGACGCTGCGAGCCGGTTCCTGTTTGCATTTTGCCCAGCAGGCCTCACCGGCTCAGCTGTTAAAGGGAGGAAGCTGGCAGACGTCATTTGCGCTTTCTTTCTCTGCCGCATTCAGTGAATTTGGAAAAGTGGAGAAATGATTCAAGACTTGTAACGCCCGAGAGCAAAGTAGCAGAAAGAAATCTGTCACACTGATACATAGTAATATATTGTACGTGCGAGTTCGGTGCCAAATGACACTCAAGTTAGCAAGAATCTGGCCGAACAGGAAAACGCCCGAGGATCCCTGTATTTCTGCTGTGTAGGGTTGAGGGTACTGTGTTGAGTAAACAGCCGTTCTTAGCTGACTTGACTGAATCACCCTTTTAAGGGGAAGCCTGTCTGCGTATCTTGTTACTTGGGTGCATAAGAACACGCACAAGTGTCTGGAGCCTTGTCGGATCTGGCATAATTCTCTCCTGCAGTGTAATAGTACCTAGCTTCCCCGGGCTGTGTATGGATCTCGGGCAAAGAGGCGTGCGCATCATGTCGCATCCTTTATTGTCTCTTAAGGCTGGGTTGTTCTTCACCGTGAGATAGTTGGTGTTCTGGCATCTGTACTGGCTTGACCTTGTGGGGTATATACCTGTGCCCCTCCATACACTATGTTCCCCTTTAAAAGGACCCTGCCTGCCTCCCATCCCTCTCTTTCTCTCTCTGTCTCTCCTCCTCTTCTACCTCTCCTACCCGCAGAAGTCGGTCTCCCCACTCTCTTTCCCCCCCTTTTCCCACTCACTTTCCCTCAATAGAGAGCCCCTCCACCTGAGCTTTGTCCCATGGCATCTTTCTCTCACGCACTGCTTTTTTTTCAAATTACAACAGATATCACCATCAAGTCTCAGTTCTTTTATTTGTTTGAGACAAGATCTCTGTGTGATAGTCCTGACTGTCCTGGAACACACTGTAGACTAGGCAGACCTCCAACTCCCAGAGATATGTCTGCCTCTGCCTCTTGAATGCTGGGATTAAAGTCACTAGGCCCAGCCACGTCTCAATTAATAACTCTTTCCCTCCCGCTTTTCCTGAGGATCAAATTTCGGACTCTTTGACATTATAGGCACTTTTGAAAAATTAAGGCTCAAATATCTACTGGGTGCTTTGATTTCTGTACCCCTGGATTATACTTAATAGGTAGTAGTTTTTTTCTTTGACATTGACGTGTGTTCATTGTTGCATAGATGTAGTTAATATGGTGCCTGACAGGTGCAATAGAGAAATAACGATGAGTCTAGGGCCATACCATCCTAAGCCTCTCAGATTTCATCTGATCTCAGAAGCTAAGTAGGATCGGGCCCAGATGGTCCAGGGGATGGAGAAATGACAGTGATTGACTGTTTCAGATGGTCCAGGATGAGTCTGTTCAAGGACCTTTTAAAGATGCAGGTGGCCCAGAAGTCCGGACGTACCCATTTCAAGATTTTGAAGTGTTGTTTGAGATCAGAGTGGCATCTTGATGTAGAAAGGATTGTGACTTACTCAAACTTCGGATGACCAGTGTAGGAGACTCTTATGCTAGTAATTGATTGGTTTGGGGCGGTCTGGGAAGGAAGAGGGGGCACCAGAGAAGGAAGCCCAGAACATTTCCTTCCTCTTTGTCCAGGAAGGCTGGGAACTAAGTGTTGAAATCGACAAAGCTTGATGTTGTCACCTTCCTTTTTCGGCCCCTCCTCCTTGTGCAGAGGTAGGCCTTTGCCCTCCTGCCTCCCAAGGGCCCCGCGGGTTCTCTGCCTCTCCTATTCATTCCCAGAGCTTCTGGGCTCTTTCCCCTTCCAAGTCCAAACACTCATTACCCGAGAGATGCTATCACACACGCTAGGGAGACTGAGGCAGTCTCTGTAATGTGCCTCTAATCACCAGATAAGCACTTGGGTTTACTTTCATCTGCTGTCTGTCTAAACAAATGAAGCTTGTGAAGTTTTTTTTTTTTTTTCTCAGGCGATTAACAGTAAGAAATGTATTTAGAAAGACTTTCTTGGGAGTGGTAGGTAATTCAACTTTCTCCTTAATTCCACAGTCTGCAAGAGTCCGTATGTGTTGCTGTTGGGTTTCATAACCAGCTCCTCCTGTCAGGAGTGTGTGAAGAGTGTCTTTAGGTGCTTGGGTGATATGTGGAGAATTGCTTAGGAGGTGAAGGAGTCTTCTGTCTGCTTGCTCCATCATTTTGGTATCAAGGGCACTGGCCAGAGGCACTGGTTTATATCCTGTGAATCTGCTAGAGGAGAGAAACCTTTCCACCTTAGAGCTAGGAGTACAGCCATCTGATATTCTAAAAGGATGGCAAAACTGCCCATTGTAAATGACAGTTCTTGAAGGTTGTAGTTTCTTGAAGTATATGTAAAGTTTCTTGACTGTCTTTTGAAACACTGGCAAAGAATGTTACAACTGGAGTGGGTATCAGCTGTAGACTTGAGAGTGAACTTGGCCGAAGGCCAGGTACATGTTGGCCTGGGTGGGTGGTTGGCAGAGTTACTTGACATGCCCTTGGGACTTGACTCTGAGAATGCAAACTTTATGAAGTAACACTCAAATATGTTTTTCATTATGAATTTGAAATCCTTCCTGTTGGTGGGTTATAGTAATACTAACTGTATATTTTTAATTTTCTCAGTTTGCCTCATAGTTTATTGTTTTTCAGTAAGGTAACTTGTAAAAAATAAAATTAAGTGCATTTTAAAGCTTTTTAAAGATGACATGCAGATTTACAAATAAAAATAAGTATCTTTTTTGAGATGTGCCCTGTGGTTTGGTTACTACAGGTGAGTAGCATTTTGAGTAATACAAAAGATTTGATACCTATTACAGTTGTCAAAGTTAATTCTCAGTTCCACTTCTGTACCCCAGTGGCTAAGTCATCTCTTACAAAGTGATTCCAAATGAAATAAAATGAAGCTCAAATAATAATTTGTGTTGTCCTGCTAGAAATCTTAACCAGCTAACAGATCTACAAAGTTGTGTTTTAGGGAAAAACCTATTCCAAAAAAAAAAAAACAAAAAACAAAAAAATGAAACCAAAAAGTAAATTGACTGAATTTTTTTCTTCACAATTGTTCAGATTGATTTCAGAAAATGCCAAGTAGGAAGTTTGCCGAGGGTGAAGTGGTCAGAGGCCGATGGCCTGGGAGCTCCCTTTATTATGAAGTAGAAATTCTGAGTCATGACAGCAAAACCCAGCTGTACACTGTAAAATACAAAGATGGAACTGAGCTGGAACTGAAGGAGAGCGATGTCAAGGTGAGTGTACCTTACTTAGGCTTGCAGCAGGACTGAGGGCTGAAGGCACCTGTCAGCCTCCGGCTTCAGGGCTCATGCTGTTCTTAGCTCAGGGATGTGGGAATGAAGTGTGGATGCAGATCCTGGCAAGCTCCTGGGAGAGGTGTTTGCTGTGAGTACTGTTTGACAGGGTAGGGAGGGCCCCAGGTTTAGGGTGTTTGTTAGCACTGCTTCCTTGAGTTGAGTGCTCGGAGTAACAGGGAAACAGGTGTGGGAGGGCAGCACACCTGAGGCCTGTGGATGATGCAGACAGTCATCAGAGAGGTGCATGACTGTGGTGAGTTCAGGGTCCACAGGAGGCAGACTTGGCTGATTTTGAAATAGGTATGTTTAGGGTTTGAGTTTCTACTCTTTTTGATTTTAAGACAGGGTATCACTGTGTAGCCCTTGCTGTCCTGGAACTTGCTCTTTTTTTTTTTTTTAAATATTTATTTATTTATTATGTATACAACATTCCTTCCATGTATGCTTGCATGCCAGAAGAGGGCACCAGATCTCCTTATAGATGGCTGTGAGCCACCATGTGGTTGCTGGGAATTGAACTCAGGACCTCTGGAAGAGCAGTCAGTGCTCTTAACCTCTGAGCCATCTCTCCAGCCCCCAAACCTGCTCTTTTTCTCTGTGTAGCTTTGGAGTCTGTCCGTAGACCAGGCTGGCCTGGACATCCCACCCCCACTCCGCCTCTGCCTCCCAAATCCTGGGATTAAAAGGTGTGTGCTGCCACTTCTTGGCAGGGTTTGAGTTGCTTCCTCAACACTGGTGATTTAATCAGAGTGTTAAGTGTTGTTTTCTAGATTTGAGGCCCAGCCTATCTGTTGAGGGCCTGG